CCTGACCCTGTTTAAGACACTAGAAATTAAAAATCCATACCCTGTTCAAGACAAATCGGAAAAATAAGGAATAGCTATCTACGCCGCAACCATCAAAACTGCAATTATACTGACACTCATCAAAGACAATAAGAAGTTTTTGATAACACGTTAATTCTGGGACAGTGAAACGGTATTTCTACAATTTCTACGGCATTTCTTATGAAAATATTACCCTGTCCAAGACACACAAAAAAATTATATCGGTCTCTTTTATCTAAATTGTAGAGCCTGTTCAAGACAATTTCGGGTGAAATGTATACCCTGTTTAAGACAGCAAGGCCAAARACCATACCCTGGCCAGYGGCACGTCCCCGTATAGCACATATATGGGAGTAACCCCCCCGGGAGCCATAAACACTTGGATACCCTTGGATAACAATCAGGGTGATATAATGAGRGATAAAATCCTACAATTAACACAGAAAACTGACTCAATCATGTAACAATAGACTTTTTTGATACGTTGGCCCATTACAGCTTTGACTATTACACTTTGTTTCRCGGGTTAATAAAAAACCCTAATTCATATGCCTATGAAAATTAAATCTACAAGAATACTAACTCTCGCAGATTCCGGTTAAATTACTGTATTTCACAAACAAGAAATGTATTCTCAGGSCTGGGTCAAACAACTTAAATTCGCCGATCTYCAAGAGCTTTTAAAAGGCAAAATGCTTTCTGTCAAAATGGTTGTTTAATAGTATGGTCGGTGTGTACTTTCAAAAGCACAAGTTATAAAAGAATTGGAAAGTTTTCGAAGTTGAAATTAGCTAGAAGCACTGGACTTTTGCATAAAGAAACTTGAATTTGAAACGGCAAAAATTTAGTTTGGCGTTTAACCCAGGCCTTACAATACAAAATAAATATTGACGTGAAAAATATTTTGCTTGTGTTCAAGCTTTATATCGACATGACCTCTTCTGAGCTCAAGCCTGTTGGTGCAGGTATGTGCACTTGGCAAAAATGACCACTTACATTCATTTGATTCATTGAACTTCAATAAAATCGTAAATTCTTTCACTGGTTTTGAAATGCCATTATTATTGAAGAATTCAATAAATAGTTGCATGATTAAATATGATACATGAAATATGTGCCAATTTTTAAAATTAATTTTTTAAGTACTAATACCGCCATGTCCGCTACATTGTTAAGAGGACGCAAAGGAAAAAAAAGTACAATTTAAATGGGTTTTATACCAATTCCTTTGTATTCAATTGTCTAATATTTGGTAGTAAATAGAAATATTTGTTTCGAGGATTTAGGACGTCCACTCTATCAAGGGATTAATAGATGTATTGCGCCGAAGTAGTCTTCTATGGTTTAAACAGATTCTATACTGACAGCCCTGACAGGTATTTTTTCACAGGCACAATCCTTCTCTTTTTAATACAATCCCAAATCCAATCAGGACTGACCACAGGAACTTCGGCTTGATATTGGACCTAAAAAACATACATCAAAATACTTCTGTTTCTGCTAGAGAAGACCCCCCTAAAATCACGTTTGAAATCTACTGTCATTTAAAGTTTATCATTGAAATTATCTAGGGAATACCTATATTCCTCACTAGTGGAAAAAACACAAAAAGTAAAAATTTACTTTTATGGCATAATTTGCTGTCATCATATATCCACGTCCTTTTTAATATAAGTATGTATCTACGCACGCACATCTAATACCCTCTACAACTAGATCTAGCTAGTTAACACATATAACATTCATTATATTATAGTTCTATGTTTTGTTTTTGTCTTACATTACGCGAGATAGTACAAAACAGTGTCGACAATTACTGACGATGATTTCCTTACAAGTTTTTAGCAACAAAAGTAGAAATTGACCTACTGTATATGAACCTATATCTCTCAATACTGGGTGGGTGTAGTGATGACTAGTGATAGTAGTCTCCGCGACTAATAGTTAGAGATGATTAAAACGTGATTTTAGGGGGGGGCTCCGTTATGGAWATTTGGGGAGGTTTACTCCAAAACTAAGACCCCAGTAAAAATCATTGAAATGTTTGAGATTTGYTGTTAGTTATGTTCTGCGTGACATAATGCACGCTTGGAACGCCCACCCAACGCGGTAAACGTCGATTTTTAGATAGAATGTAAATTGTAATTACCGTGCCCAGACCTCTACGCCCGGCACTGTCTTAAAATGCAAGCACAATAAACCAATCCTGAATTCGCTTGGATGAACACGAAACAATGGCTTCGTTTCGAGGCTGGAGTTTTCGACAAAAGATAAAACTTCAGCCTCGAAATGAAGCCCTTGTTTCGTGTTCATCCAAGCGAATGCGGGATTGGTCTATTATTATTCACGTTAGGTTGTTAACGAGCGCCCAGTGATTGCGAGAACCCGGGGGCGGSGAATGGCGTAAAAGTAGGWACTTTTAAGTGACCCAACAAATGTATTCAAAGAAGATATAGACGTGCTCGTTTAAATACAAACGGAGAGGTAAAGTTAATGATTGGTATCACATTTTTCCATAAAGAATATAAAACTAGTCAATCTGACGCTGAATTTTAAATGAAAAATATTCCTATTCACTAGAAAAAATCGCGCTCCTTGAAAGTTGTTAATTTAATGGAAATACGATGTAAATTCGATCTATAATAATTCCAAACATTGTAAATATCCCGTAAGTGCCCTAAATAATGGAAATATCATGTAAAWTTGGATTTCAATTTACATAATATTTCCATTAAATTTACATTGCTTGTAAAAAGTGTGTAAATGTGATGTAAATCAAATTTATAATGCGTGTAAGTGTCCAAAATCATGTGAATGTTAATATTATTCACATCATTTTTACATCAATTTTACAGCGCGGTTTTTCCAGTGATTGTACAATTTTCATAATAAAACTGMAATTTTAAGCGCCATCTTGAAATGTAGCCAAGCCTTTGCACCAAAGCGATAGACACAAAGATCCATGATTCCTTTCCTTTTTAAAAGCTGACATTCATGATTTTGCTTTCATTTTTCGCGATCCGCTACCCATCCCGAAATTCTGGATGTAAAAATTTGTTCGTTTCTTTGAACTTACCTCGTTCTTTGCAATAATGTAGGTAGCAGTTTCTTTGAATAACTCTGAAACAACATCTCCATCATAGCTACAATACGTGTTAAGTAACTAACTTTCATTGATTTCTACTTATGCCATAGCTTTGCTTTCTGTCTTTCAGCAATGAATTTTATTACTTGAATTTTATTACATGAATTTTATTACTGTCATTTGTTGAATGGCGCATTGACGTAGTTTTTGTTTAATATATTTTATATATAAGTTCATTCATTAATTTTAAAAGAATATCATGAGATTCTTTGATTTCTGCTTATCAAAGGATACGCTATAATGTAACGCTTTAATTTCTTCACATTTTCTGTTTCTTTAGGGATATAAAACTGAATTCCTGAGAACAGCGATGGCAATTTCTATATTGACAAATAGGATAAAATCAAAATAAAGCATCTATCCGGTGAATTTTCAAATGAAAATTCTACTCAATAGGCCTTGTGCAGCTTGGGGTCACGTGACAACTCCTACCTTAAAGTACTGAAATRACAACGTTTCAACTCAAATACTTCAAGAATAGCAGCAATTTGTAAAATCATTTTTCTAAAGAAACATGTGAGGAAAAAACTTCAGAGAAAGCCTTGCTCTCCAATTCTATTTTTACGTTTCTTTTTTCAAGTATGTGTTGTTACTGATTCTGACCTATTCTTTTCATTTCYTTCTGCCATAGCTGATTGGTTTAAGGTAGGTGTGGTCACGTGACCACCAGCTGCACAGGACCTATTGAACTCACCTCGGATAGTTGGCATGACTGTTCTTGCGCTTCAGTCTGCAAACATGAGACTGTGTATTATTCGATAATAATGGGAAAATATTGAATGGATTCTGTACAAATATACTGAAATCACYGTTGTTTGTAGAGCTGGTCAAGTTCAATAAGTGCTATATTCGTTCAATGGGGTCCTGCATATATATTAAATGAGTACTTACTGTGACATGTAGATATTTCTTCAAGTGCTCAGTGCTTGTTTGATAGCATTTTGATCCATATTTACACACTTGTTTCTGATAGAAAGATATAAAAATTTCTGTCACGGTAACAGATTTATCGCTGCCTCCTTTCGCTTCCTCAGCGTTACTACATATATACCTTTGCCATTTCATGACCTCCAATATCATCATCAGCCTTTCTTTTCCCTTTTTTTAAGACTGAGTCACTCTTAACATCTTCACACTTCATCGATTTGTCATCATCAGAACTATCATCATCATCTTCTTCGTCATTAATATCTTCGCTGATCTTCTTCGAGTCTTTTAAGATCAACAAAAAGTAATCATTGATGATTATAATTATCACAATGTGACGGACGACCGGGCATGAAATATATCATTGTTCTATAATAGTAGTATAGTTAATAGTTTATTATACAATAAATGACAGTGATCGCACTCAAACAGTACGTGCGACTGTACAAACTAAATAGTGCTACTTAGTTGTATTTAGCAAATCGTGCATGCGGTACGCAAATTAAATTGAATTGATACAAATGAA